GATTAGCAATCTATAAGTAATCGAGGAGTCGATGTTCAATGCAGAAGTATTTAGTTATTCATAAAGCCATAATTTGATGACCGCTGCTCCACCTGGTTTTTGCATTTGCACTAAACACAGAATGCTTCTCGCCCAGGCGTTTTAGGAGTTTTAAACTACAACCCATTTATAGGCAAAATAAGCACTCGGTAAAGTTAATAAACTAACTTCTGCCAACTTTGGATTGAAAGCTCAAATTGCCTTTTTTTATTGTTTCATGATTTCCAGACAACAGTAACCGATTTTTCGTAGTGGCACTTGGTCCCACTATTTGCTTTGCACGTAGTCCATGCTACTTTCTAGCTACACAAAGATTATGCCAAAGGACACAACCAATCATCGTAGGTCACTAGTTTTGTCTTAAGGTATTGCATTAAAAAGAATCAAAATATTGTACGTCTGTTGTCAATACTTTTGTTTTAGAACCCTAAAATCCACGCTGAACCCTGAAATCCATGGCGTGGTTTTATGCTGATATGTCCCCATTAACGGGAGACGGCCTTTGGCGCATTTAATACCGTGTTCACCCGGTAGTGCTTTATGCGAAACAGTTAATGGTTTTTCACAACTGTTCTAATCTAAACTGACAACTTCATCAATTTCGAAATACAGACGATAATTCGACATAATGTATTTTACGCCTTACTTACACCGGGGTTTTTTCAACGGCCATATGAAACGTCTTGCTGCTAAATGGTCGTGTAACGACTAGCCCTTGACGCCATCAATGTGACTTGACTACTTTACGATAATTATATTGCCTTCAGCAATTACACAAGTCCCTTTGTATAAAGCAACGTGTGAAACCATGTGACCTAGCGAAAAAATGGGACTTACACGACTTATTCGGACAAGCGCACACACATGCAGCTGAGATAAGAAAGCACAACAAGGTTAGTCGCATAATGTGCAGGACCTTCATCTACATTGCCATTAGTTGACGCTCTATATAACATTCAACATAGTGCCAATAGAATTCACCAATCATGCTTGTACAAATCACATTGCTTAATGATCTTCTATCTTCCCAGGGAAAACCCAATAAACAACATTATTTATTTACCCGTTTATTGTACTTCATTTATCTTATATTAATCATATACGAACGAGCTACTCGAAGCCACTAAGCCATAACTAAATGAAACTTAGTTTTCTTTATGTCGCTCACTATTCCCGCATTAAATATATCGGCATTTAGGGATTCCAGATATCTTGAATTTCTGCATTTAAAACCGATGGTAACATGAAATGTATGATGCATAACTTCTTAGCAATCATCTAGATTATTATTTTGCCGAACTCTCTTTTGTTTATACTGCTTAAATTGTCCCCTTATTGTGCATTCGATTTAACAAATATTTGTCAATTCGGTTTGCTTGAGTGTTATGAGCTTTTGCTATTATGGCATGTGTAGCTTTTGCAAATGTATTGTCACTTCTAGACAACAAATTGTAAAGCATGGAGTTCTATGTTTATGTTTAACCTGAGCTCATTAAGTAACAATTCGGAGTTTTTTATGGATATATTTTGACTTATTTTCGCCAATTATATTAAGGTAAAACTCATAGATTCATGCATCTGAAGCAACTATGGTTTGACTAGCCTCATTCGAGAACATACTGGATTGCCAATTGGATAGTTATTGCGAAACTTATGATGCGACTCAAAGAAGTACCGTCACCGAAATCGACGTCCACGTGGGCGTTACCGGCCTTTTAAACCCCCTCAAAACGCCAAGTCCGGGTAATAAGCGTTCAAATTGAGGACGGTTGTTATGAGCAAACACCCTTTAATGACCAACGCATTTGCCAGATATCATGCGGCTTTCGCCACCGAAGGTAAATCTGAAACTACAATCATCGAATGATCCACTGTTTCAAAATTCCAAAACCTTTCCGCACATTCCCCTACAGCAAGTAAATCAATGTGGCCTTTATGACTGACCCTCACAGTGTAATCCGTTCTCGTTCAGTTGCACTCGATAAAGGGTGTAATTTTCGTCACGCAGTCCGCCCACGTCCTTTTCAGCATTCTGTCTTCGGTACTCTGATGTCACAGCAGGCCCAGGTAGTGATCGGGAGAAAGAATGTGTTAGAGCTTTTGCTGCCCGATGTCCCTGCACTAGGCGTACTGTAAGGCTCACAGTGGACATCATCAGATTGGACGTTCGAAATGGCATATAAATGTAGCAAACTTCTAGTTTTTTTCAAATGCAACAAATAAACAGATATAGGCAACTATATTTAATCTACATAACCGAGAATAGAAAGCCAATTATGGCGAATTGACTTGCACATCTCACATCCAAAAAATAATCTACCTACCGTAGACTCAACAAGCTAAGACCTTATGAATATGTGCTCCTGTTGCATTTTAAAGTTCATGATTAAACTACTTCGTCGTATCCTGGCCAAAGTCCTACAATTCAACGCGCGGATCAATTGTTTGTTTTCGGTTACGAATGCTGGCATGGAAGGCGACTAAAAGAGGGCCGCCGACGATAAGAAACATGGGAGTAATTGGCCCTTAAAATATTTATGTATTTACATCTTCGAACATGTCTTTCGTGGGCTGGAGAATACCAAAAGTTCACCGCGGCTAATAAAAATGGTTTATCGTGGGAGAGGGACTCTGGTCAGACTCGTACATTTTGCTGCCATAACGTGCTTATGAAACACATTTAATGATAATCTTTGGCGAAAAGGCTCAATACACGGTGCACTTATTTATAAAGTAGAAACGTTTTTCGACTTTACAGGAAATAATTCGGTCAGGTACGGGGAATTCTTTCGATTTAAAAGTGAATCTCTCATTTTTCTATTGCGCTTCCGAAAGGAGAACTGTACTATGAATGTGCTCTGCAGTATGATTCGTATGCTGTTTGTCATAAGCAAAACCCCTCAAAGCATTAGTTCATTGTATTTGTAAATATATGTTTATTGAAAGGTCGCAGATAGGTTTACGTTTCTATTTTGGACGTAACTGATATTTGTCATTACCAGACCGGCTAAAAACTTATTTATTTGGCGCGAATTACGTCTCTGGTCCTTAAAATGCAGGGTAAGTCAGTCCGCATATATGGACAAGAATGTGTGGTCAAGGCTTTAACAATTTCTTGGAACGTCGGACACTTTCAGACGGCTGATTTGCGAAAGGGAGGAAGAGTCACAGGTATTGCAGTCCAATAGTTTCACAAGTGTACGTTTAAACTTTTAACGTCGTTTACAATATGCAGGCGATACGTGAGGTGCCGTAAACATGGCACACACAAAAAATACAACATAATTTACAACAGCCTATATCGGTTCTGATAGTTATTCCGTTAAATACCGAAAAAGACCGTGTAGTTTGATTGGGTGTTGTACAAAGTTCCATAAAGCAGGTAAAAATGATAGCAGATTTTGTGACAAAACAAACAATTCCGAAGGTGGGTTGTCAAACAGTATTACGTTTTGACATATATGAGTACAATTTTTGCAAAATGCGTTTGCGGGCAACAAAAGGCAATTAATAGTGCGTTTTAGGACGATGACCCAAGCATGTTTGATGAGAAGAGGTTTGTGCTTTCGGACTGTTTACATTTGTTTGTAAATTTACTAATATTTCACAAGATAAAAGTCATACTCTGAGAGAAAAAGGTTGATTTCCTTCTTTTCTAAAACAAACCTATGATTCAAGTATGTTATAAAGAACAAATATCACGGCAGTTATTGAATGCACCAAACGTGAAAAGCGGTTCGTTTGTGCAAATACGCCTTGCGGAGTTTTGCGGCAACATATCGGTCGATCTGTTATTCAACGACATCGACTCCCTTTTCGACAATATCAAAGTGGTCTTCAGAAAAGTAAAGTCGAATTATGCCATAAGATAATCGATGTTCTCTGATTATTTAAGCAATCTTCTTCAGTCAAAAGTGATATTAGAAACTAAATATTTTATTATTCAAATATTTATGAATAGAAATCTTGGTCGGAGAGTATATACCTTGAAAAAAAACAGATATATTCTAAGTTCGGCGAAACAAGCAGGGATGGGCTTTTGGCTAGTACCTCTGCTGCTACTATGGAATCACCCTGACCTAAGATGTGTGGTGAGGTACCTGACTAATTTACCTTTGACATTTTAATCCCATTTACTTTGAACGCATTGCTTGTTTGAATGTGACGAGAAAAGACAAACCTGTACAACCCGCCTTGCTAGCGTGCTCCTCTGTCGTTCAAATTCTCTATATTATTCACTGCTCCGTTTTTACATGCTGTCTAAAGGCTAGGGGCTCGTGAGATATAACTCGCTAGTTCGTGAGAAAATTACCTTTAAAGACACTGGGGACTCTCGACGTTAACGCAGACTTTATACTTTTTGACATACTGAATAACATTTAACGCACTATTTGTTTGTGAATATCTATTCCACTTATATTCCTCACAAATTCTGATATTTTTACCATCTGTGTCTTATTATGTATCATTCCAACCAACAATTGATGCCCCCGCCCAGTCCCTTCATGCCATCAATTTTACCTTGCCTGAATTCTGGCAACACGCTCCAGAACTTCACTTCATCCGCATAGAATCAGCTTTTCTGCTAACGTTAATAAGGAGTGGGCGAAATACCACAATCTCGTGGAAGTCCTCCCCGCAAGCGTCAGCTCTCAAGTTCAGTCCTTGCCAGCTGATCCTCCTGCAGATGCTCCCTACTCAGCGTTAAAGGCAGACATTCTCCGACTTAATTATGTGCCTGACCGACAGCGGTATCACCAGTTTATTAAGGAGGACTCACTGGGTGACCCGAAGCCCTCAGAGCTTCTACGTCGAATTCGTTCTCTCCTTGGAGACATGCAAGTTGACGATAAATTTGTCAAAGAGATGTTCCCGCAGATTTTCAAACGATCCTTGCGTCTGGCTATCAAGATATTACGGTTTCACAGCAAGCTGAGATGGCGGATCGAATGATAGAGGCGCAACGATTTCAGTCGTCTTCCGTTGCCCAGATCTCATCTTCATCGTCGGTGAATGAAAATTCAGTGAAGCAGGTGTCGGCCATGGCGGATGAGATGGCATCCCTTAAAATACAGCTCGCTTGCCTAACTTCCAGTCGCTCACGCAGTCGTCGTCGTTTTCGTTCGCGACATCGGACAGCTGATACTTGCTGATATCACACTTATTTCGGCGCAAAGGCCCGTCGCTGTGCCTCACTCTGATTTTTTAAGCCTAAACAGGGTAACCAGTCGGCCAGAGAATAGATGCGACCGTTTTCTCTGGCTCTTCCGGCTCTGGTCGCACCTTCTATGTTTGCGACACTGCGACTTGCAGACGTTTCCTGGTGGATACTGGAGCCCAAATAAGCGTTGTTCTCCCAACTGCAGCTGATCGTCGTTTCCCTAGCCCTGGTCTTCACCTCCAAGCTACCAACTGTTCCCCCATTCCCACTTTTGTCTGTCTGTCACTCACTCTGAACATTGGCCTTCGTCGATCATTCACTTGGACCTTTTTGATTGCTGATGTCCCTCATGCAATCCTCGGCTCGGGCTTTCTTGCCGAGTGTGATCTCCTTGTTGACTGTCGACGTGCCCGTCTCCTCGACCGCACAACCGGTCTGTTTGTTCGTGGACTAACTCCCTTCAATGCCCCCAGCAACTTATCTTTCTTTGATACGGATATTGCTAGTCCCATTCGGCAACTGCTGCTTGGTCACCTCAAAATAATTAACCCCCAGTTTTTCAGTGTTGAGGTTCAACATGATGTTGTGCGCCATATCCGCACCGCAGGTCCTCCAGTGTTTGCTCGACCGAGACGACTAGCACCGGAGAGTTACCAGGACGCGAAGACGGAGTTTGAACACATGCTGCAACTGGGAATAATTCGACCCTCCGAGAGCCCTTCGGGCGTCCCCACTGCACATGGTGCCCAAAGTGACATCAGGCGACTGGCGACCTTGTGGCGATTATCGAGCCCTCAACAGCGCCATCATTCCTGATCGGTACGCCGTTCCTCATCTTCAGGACTTTTCTGGAGCCTTTTTCGTCAAAGCGGTTTTCTCGAAGATTGATCTGGTGCGTGCTTTTAATCAGATTCCAGTCGCCCCTGAGGACATCCCTATAAGTGCCGTCACCACTCCCTTCGATCTCTTTAAGTTCGTACGCATGCCGTTCGGTCATCGTAAGGTCACCCAAGCGTTCCAGAGGTTCATAGACCATGTCTTACGTCGCCTACCTTTTGTGTACGCCTACATTGATGACCTCTTGGTGGCCAGCCGGAATGAAGAAGAACACAAAGAGCATCTTGTCTTAGTGTTTGACCGCCATGATAAGTTTGGTGTCGTCATAAACCCTTCCAAGTGCGTGTTGGGTGTGCCTTCGCTCGAGTTCCTCGGCTATCAGGTCGACTCTGAAGGTTTGTGTCTCCTGCCCTCCAAGGTTGTAGCAATTCGTAATTTTCCTCCTCCAACTTCCAAGCGTCGGTTACAGCGATTCCTCGGCATGGTCAATTTTTATCGTCGGTTCCTAACGATCTGTGCTTACCTCATGTTGCCTCTCACCAACATGCTTTCTGGTCCAAAGGTTTCCTCGAGCTGACTGATGAAGCACTAACAGCTTTTGAGAGAATCAACAATTCCTCTGCCGACGCCACCTTACTCAAGCATCCCGCTCCCGAAGCTCAGTTGTCCCTGATGGTAGATGCTTCGACTGTAGCCGTAGGTGCGGTCCTTCAACAACACCTTGCTGGTTCGATTCAACCACTTGCCTTTTTCTCCAAAAAGCTCTTACCAGCGGAGACACGCTACAGTATCTTTGGCCGTTAACTTCTTGCCATTTACCTGGCCACGAAGAATTTCCGGCATTTCGTTGAAGGTCGGGACTTTCATGTTTTCACTTACCACAAACCGTTGACTTTTGCACTTCGTTCCCACTCCGACAAGTACTATCCTAGGGAAGTCGCTCACCTGGACTACATCTCCCAATTCACCACCGACATCCGCCACATTGATGGCACGAAGAATGAGGTGGCTGATATGCTGTCCAGACCCTCATTGTCTTCCCTCCAACTCACACACGGATCGATCTTTGTGCCATGGCGGCTGAGCAACAGCGAGTCGGTTGTCCTGATGACGAGTCTGTTAGTGGTCTTCTACTCAAAGATGTTCCTCTGACCACCGGATCTGATATAATACTTTGCGACGTCTCAACTCCCTTTCATTGACCTTTCGTACCCGCCTCGATGCGTCGAGCTGTATTTCAAACTTTGCATGGAATCTGCATGGAATCTCTCACTATGGGATCCGAGCTTCTCAGCAGCTCCTCGCGGAAAGGTTTGTCTGGCCTGGCATGAACAAGGGTGTCAAATGTTGGGCCCGGTCGTGTCTTAGCCTCCAGCGCAACAAGGTGCAGCGTCACAACAAGTCCCCACCAGGCACTTTTCCTAGTCCCGACGCGCGTTTCTGCCATGTGCACCTGGATTTCGTAGGCCCCTTGCCTCCATCCAATGGTTTCACCCACTTCCTTGCCTGTGTCGATCGATATACCCGCTGGGCTGAAGCTATTCATTTGCCAAATGTTCGGGCTGAAACCATCGTGAAGGCCTACGTCGGACGTTGGCTTGCCATGTTTGGAGCCCCGTTCACGGTTACGACTGATCGTGGTGCCCAGTTTCAGTCGGCACTCTTCCGAAAGCTACTCAATTTCCTTTGCTGCACAGGCATTCGGACGACAGCCTACCACCCAGCTGCCAACGGTATGTTGAAACGCCTCCATCGTCAGCTAAAGACCGCTCTGCGCGCCGGAGAAGACCTAGGGAAACTGGTCGGACAACCTTTCTCTTGCACTCCTCGGCATCCGCGCAGCTCTGAAGTCGGATCTCGGCTGTAGCGCAGCTGAATTGGTTTTCGGCACTACCCTCCGACTGCCAGGCGAGATGATCACCCCAACCTCTCGTGGAGCCGACGAGACTCCTGACAATCTTGTGCACCGTTTGTGGCAATTTATGCGCTCGCTTTCCCCGGTTCCACTTGGAGCTCCAATGACAGAATCTTATGTCGAAAAGGACTTGGACAAGTGTACTCATGTGTTCGTCCACTGTGACTGTATGCGCCAGCCGCTGTAATCACCATACGAAGGACCGTTCCGAGTGCTCGCGCGCATCTCCAAGACCTGTCGGATTCTTCGCGTTGACAAAGAGGACGTGGTCAGTGTCGATCGGGTCAAGTCTGCTGTTGCAGCGGAGCCGCCGGACCTGCCACAAGGACAACAATGTGCTGATCCCCTAACCCCTTTTCCTCCATTTTCCCTATCCCCAGCTCATTCACCCTGCCCACTGCCTCGTCCTTCCCCTCCCTTGCCCTGTACCCCTCCGTCTCGCATACGTCCTCTCCCTAAATGTCTACAGCATCCAACTGCAACATCATTCTCCACCATAGAACGTATTCAACCCCCTCGACTGTACCTCCTACGTACATCGCTCGCAGTGAACATCAAGTTCATGTCCCGGATCGTTTAGTTACGCATTTTTTTCTAGACTAATGCATATCCTCCAGCACCGTATTCCGTCGCCTTTCGGTCTAGAAGGGGGTACTGTGGTGAAGTATCTGACTAACTTACAATTTAGTCTTATTTTCTTTGAACGCATTGTTTTTTGAATGTGACGAGAAACGACACATTTGTACAAACCGCCTTGCTAGCGTGCTCCTCTGCCGTGGTCAGTTGCCAGGTTTCTTAACGTTTAAAATCTCTATATTATTCACTGCTTCGTTTTTACTTGCTGCCTTTAGGCTAGGGGCTCGTGAGATATAACTCGTCAGTTCGTGAGAACATTACCTTTTACGACAGGTGCATTACTAGCTGCCTGCCGGTAGTTGATGAATGTTAAGCGGTTAAAATTCCGTGGCTGATGTACTTCGGCCCAAACATTCATCCAGATTGCTTCTTGGTCTTAGCTTATAGACTATTAATAAACTGATCTACTGCAAATTCGTAAAAGATATCTGAGGAAATTTAAAAGTGGCATTTGAAGCACACGATTCTTAAGAAAGGTAGCTAAATGCAGTTTACATATTTCAGTTCTGATATCAAGAAAATATATAGGCCAACTCCGCAGACTAATTTCAATTCTCGGCTTCATTGGTCCGGGGCAGAAATGTATGTTCTAAATATAAAGATTCCACAACATCCAATAAATTTAAGGGAAAGTCATTAGATAGATTGTTTCCGTTAGTATTTCTGACAAATGTGTAATTGAAAATGGTGTAAAATATGCATTTACAGTCCCTTAGCTGTACACAAATCTGACTGTTTTGTATAATCCATCCAAAAAGATGCCGAAAAAGCGGCTGAGATCGCGAGACTTTCTGTATATTCTTTGGAAATCTTTTTAAGTCCTTCTTAAAATACTCATAGTTGGCCACATAGCCTACTTGGTTTTTCTTAAAACGTACAATTTAATAAAAATTTTTGTTCATGTTAAATAAAACATTCGTGTAGTCTTTTCGAACTAAACGTCCTGCTGTATATTTTTCTTGAGGCAATTGACATATTGCTAATATCCTACAAATGGCACTTAGATTACTCTCTGCTGAGTGCATAGAAGGGTTCAAGCAAAAGGGATTTTAAATATTTTTGTAAAAGTGCATGTCTAAATAATCTAAAGTTTCCCATTCTTTCATGAATGGAAGCTCGTGTAATCCCATTAAATTTGGCTCATAAGTATTTACATAAAAACATAATTGTATAAAATTTCGGAATTATTTGTGGACCCTGCATTGTACGAAACGGAAACAATAAACTGTAACTCCCAATAAGTGCATTTATGAGTACATATGTATTTCGAGGTGTAACAGCATGTTTTTAGCAAGTTGCACTTTTATTGGTGTATATTCCCAGAGTGGTACATATCATTTCATCGTATATTATCATTTGTAAGCTAAGATATGACGATTTCATATATTTTGGTTTGTATGATTAAAGTCACAAATAAAGAATTGCCGTTTGTTTTGCAAACAAAAATAAACAAAATAACCGCTTGTTTTAAGTGCCTTCGAGCAAACCAAACAATCAACATTTTTCGAAAAGCGTTACACTTTTTTTTACTTTTGAATGCAAAAAGTTGCATGTTTTGACTTCATTTCTTGCGCAGCACTTCAAATGTTCCAGTTGCGTGGACTACGATTGTCCGAAAAAACGGATTTAGGAACAACGTTGTCATGCTTCGACATGGCGCAAGTGGGCTATCTATCCCAAAAACTTTAATTCTAATTGGCCTAACTATTAAAATCATAAGCGAGTACTGCCTAGTGGAATCAAATTTTGAATGACAAGAAAACAAAGAAACACATCGAGATTTAAATTTTCACGTTCCTATATTTGGGCAAACTACAATCGTCCTTCTGTTTAAGAGACAGTGGTAAACTGTCGGCCGCTAATGTTTTGGCCTAAAAGTCATGCGGCGCGTCTTATATCCACCACCATATGCAGATGTTTTTAAGTTGTACTTAACTTGCTTAAAACCAAATTTTTTTTCACAGTTAAACGACAAGCACGCACTTTGCGAACGCCTCGGAGTCAAAGCTATTTGAGCATTGATAATATACCAATAAAACTGTACTGAAAAACCGTCATCAATGGCGGAATTTCCAAAACTAAATGGATGGATTTCAGCAAAATTTCTCACAAATCACAAAAAATTTGGCACGCAGTACCCGGCCTCATCTTTGTTACGTGCAGCGATTGGGCTTCCGTTTATGTGCAGTTTTTTGAGGTGGTATGATACTTACATTTCAGCTCTCGCCATTAAAATTTCTCAAGTTCCAGCTTCGAGGCCAAGCAAACGTGACGTAAAATTATTCTAGCCGTGTCTCCTGCTGCTGTGTTTAAGATAGTCACAATATTAATTTAAAAACGCTGTCTAATTTTTTTATGATATCACGACAATTATTTGGTTCGCGACTAGGCAAAAACGTGTGTTTGATTTTAATTCCGATTTGTAATAAAATCGCGCTAGCATGATGACTATGCGATCTGGTTTTACTTAATTTTGGGTTGACAATTACATTGGATTTTATCCAAGGATGGCTTATTTGCTTAATTTATTCTGCATTAATACCTCTTTTGTACAAAATACAATTGGATATTGCAAGTAATGTCCGTACGGCTATATTTTGATAGTTATAAACGTATGTGCACCAAGTGCCATTACATAGAATAATTTTCACTTGCTACGTGCTACGTTTCCGCCTGTGCTCAAAATATCACGTAAAGTCCATTTTCTCTAATATAGCCGTTTATAGAACAGTCTGACCAAGCATGTGTCAGCGCCTAACAGAATACTTTATAGACAATAAAGTTATATCAAAATTTTGGCTTGATCAATGCCTAATACGGGGTCGGACATGTTCTAGTTGACTCAGCAGTAAAAAACGTTTTTCATTTTACATTCATGGAAAACTTGGCCCATGTGAGCAGTGTAAAATCCACGTAATCGCAATCATAGTTGATTTGTTATAGGGCAGGTGCGCCTACTCATGACTTTTAACCAACAACTTTAAAACACGTTCCCGTTTTGAAAAGAATTCTTTCGAAAGAACTTCTTTATCGCAACATGAAAAAACCATATTTTGTAATAAGGACTGTTAATATAACATGAAGTATCCTTGTTGGCGTTTGATGCTCTTAAAGCTTCATATAAAACATGCATAAAAATATTCATATTTGTATCGATCCGATAGAACAAGCATTCCTGAGAGCTGCCTAAATGCATGTCATGAATGCGTTGAAACCTCAATGGTATTAACAGATTTATTTTAAACCGATGAAGTCTTCATTCTCCTTTCCGTCGGCTTTAATATCTAGGCCGCGTTATTTTTAGGCGATTTCATGAAAAGTGTTCGCGTCCACATATTCTACACTGAACGTCCGTTGCACTTCTCTTACATCATCCTGCTTGCTGAAGTGGTGGACTTTTTACATAAAATCACGTTCTACAAACGATGCCGGCGAATTGCCTGCAGAAATATTGATAATGCTTTAGCCTTTAAGTCCAGCTAAACGGAATCTGTGGTTGTCCCATTCAAGCTGGAAAATATTGTTCAGCCGATGGGTTTGTAACCAAACGCAGGCTTGGTTATAGAGAACCACTTCGAATTATCAGCATAATTATTTCAATTAACGTCATCAGTGTTGACAACAAGCCAATTATTTTCTTTCCTCTCGCCTTCCGCTGCAGTTATTATTGTCACTGGATGAATAAAATAACCCCATGGATAAATATATTGTTTAGCTCGGTATTAAATGACGGCATACGTTGTAGGCATATTTCATAAAGAACTTCGGCGTTGTCTGGAATTCATATTTATCCTACAAATTGACAAAAGGGCGCTCACCGTCCTTCTTCAGGAATCACTCGAACCGCGTTGGGCCATTGGACTCTTTTTTAAGCCCAACTAGCAGCCGCACAGCGGCGCGATATACGGGCGAAATGACATTGCCGACAAAGACATTAGGGACTGAAATGACATCTTCTGGCTTACTAGCTGTCGCCAACCATTCATACTCAACTGAGAAGTGTGGAAAACCCGTGGTTCTGGCCACTGTCTTGTTGTTAGAAGTGCAACGACCCTAAACACTGTCTTATGACACGATATCCTATTTAGTGCGATTGGAAATATGCAATGGTAGAAGGGTTGCTTAGAGAATACGGCGCGTGCAAATAACTGCACATTTTTGTATAAATGTAAGTTTTGAATTTAAGACCTGTGAGCCGAATTGCATACCATTACATGATGTACCAATTGTGTAAGAGTAGTAAATCGCAAATCATTCAGACTTGCTCCACCGCGATCGCCATTGCTGGGCCTTTTCTAAGCCATCGGCGAAGGTTG